TTTTTGTTGGCATTATCTTGTCCAATTTTCAGAAGATGTTAATCTCGACAGAAAATTAAACCAAGCCTTAAAGTGATTTATTAAATATCCCAGGGAATTCCTTTCTCCAGATCCAGCCCCATGCTGTTAAACTCTACACATGTAGCATTTGTGAAAACCTGATGATATTGAAACAAGAGTTAATGATAGAATAGAGCAAAAGCAAATCCAAATAAACTTGTTCTATTGTACACTAACCCCAGATACTTGATAGCTATCTAGAGGCTTTTATTTTGTTTGTTTTTTTACTATACTTTATTTAACTATATTATCAAACTTTCTACTTTAGAAAGGAAAACAAAACCAAATATGCAACAATAATAAAGGTAGCACATGGAGGTGGATGCGACACTAATGAATGTGCACTGACAGCTCATTGGAGAAATCAAATTTAATGTGCATATATTAGAATATCACTCAGCCTTTAAGCAGCCCGAAATTCCATTATAAATTTGACAGTCAGTGACTCTTGGGTGTATTTTACAAAATGAAATAAATCTGTTAAAATACATATGATTATTATTATATGAGGTGGCTAAAATAATCAGTCATAAAACAGAAAGTACAGTGGTGGTTATGCAGAAGGAGGTAGGTGGAATTTTGTTAAATGGGTACAGAGTTTTAGATTTTGAAAATAAAAAGTTCCTAGAGATCTGTCACACAACAGAAATATTGCTAAAATAATCTTAAAACGTACCGTTAAAATGGTAAAGATAAGTATTACTTTACTGCAATTGCAAAAATGATTTTTGTTCCAAAATGAAGGGTAAATGTATACAGCTTCTCTTGATTCTTTTATCATACCATTTATCTAATTTTATTTATGATTTTACTATTGGATTTATGGTTTTATTGTTGAATTTATCCAGTATACATTCAATGCTTACTTTTTCTGCTTTGTATCATATCATTGACTCCATAAATGTTTTCAATTTCAGTTTCCACAATTTTTAACCATGATTTTATCAAACTGAGAATCTTTTCTTATTCTATATCACCTTCAACCACTATGGCATTTGGTATATCAATTACTATTTCTTAACAGATTACCTTTCAGTGATTATAAAGCACTTGTCTTACAGGTTTACTTGTGTTCTGCATTTTAATCATGATTTCTATACCATATGCCCAAATTCCCAGTTCTGTTTCTTCATATACTTCTCTATATTCCATGTAGAAGAACAAATCGCAAAAAATGATACTATTAGAAAATTATGAATCTACCTCACCTTTTCTTATTTTAAATACCAAGGTATAATTGAAATATAAACATTGCATACGTTTAAGGTATACAGCTTGATAATTCGATATAAATACACTGGGAAATGATCATCATAATCAAGCCAATTAATACATTAATCACGTCTACACAGTAACTATTTTTTTCTCTGTGGTGAGAGAATTTAAGATCTATTCTCTACAGGTTTAAAGTATACTTTATATCATTATCAACTACAGTCAATATACTATATACTAGATATTAAAATATATCTTGCATAACTGAAAATATATGCTATTTGATAAACATTATTTTGTTTTCCTCCCTTCCACTTCATACTATTTTATAAATTATTTTCCAATTCATTGAGTGGTCTATTTTCTGCCAATATACAGAAAGTGCAAAAGTTCACCTGGTCTCTTACCTTTTATCTTAGCCTTAGCCAAAACTACTCTGCAGTTCTCAACTCCATAGCCCTTCATATAAAAGTTCTGATCCCCTTAGTTTGTAAAATCTGTTAGCCGCCCACAGTCAACATTGATGTATCACTTTCTGAAATTTTATGCAATCTATAAGTTGATCTTTACTTTCACACTGTTTAGAAAAAGATTTGTACATCCTTCTTTTCATGCAGTGATTACACTGTCTTCTCACTTTAGTTTACATGTTCCTGGTCTGGGTTGTTGCTTTAACCTGTGACATATGTCATTTATTTTTGCTATCACTAATTCAACATCACCTGAAGGCTCTCAATCACAGAACCAAACACTAGGTAAAAAGAACTTAGGAACTCACTGGTGAACCACCCCTCCATGATGAGGGTGAATTCAGTAGTCCAAAGGGTAAGAATGGGAATGAATTCCTGCATATGGCCATCAATTGCCCACACTTCTTGTGGCCACTCAGATAAGTCTGACCTAAAGATCCTCCTGCCTGTGTCTCATGCTCCATGCTGGTCCTGCTTCCTCTCAATCCTTAAGCCTCAGTGCATAAAGAGAATGAGAAAGGAAGTCATGAAATGGGTGCACTAAGGCAGCAGGAGGCAAAAGGAAAGTAGAGATTAGTTTTACGTGATGCATTGGGGCAGTGGGGCATCCACAGGCTTAACATTCACTTGGTACTCATGGTCAAGAACCTAACCATTCCCTCAGGAGTTGCAGAACAGGATCCATGAAGAATCCATTTTGTCTCTAAAAGTCAGATGAAAAGGAGAAAGGGACAATCCTTAATTATTTTAACAATTTTCTTCTATGAACGAAGAATTAATACCTCTAACCCCAGCATCTTATCTAGTCTCTCCTGGAGGCCTGGCAGCTGGAAACATAACGTCGTAAGTGCAGTGATGGAGAAAGATGTAAAAATTAAGAAAGTGTGGTTTCCAAAACCCTCTAAACCTTACCGTACCCAAAAAGCCAAGTTCTACTGCAATTTTCCAATACAGGGAGATTGGAACATCATCAGGGCTATGAGTCTTAGTCTATCCCAGCCCTAGGACGTATTAAAGAATGTAACCCCCAATCCACTGAGGAATGAGCTTGGAGGATTTTCTAGAAGAAAATCATCAAACTTGAGGTCCTAATCCCAAGGGCCTTCCCTTGGGGCAATCAGTGTTGTTACCTCTTTACAGTAAGCAGTCCTGAGGGTATTTTAAAGATGATAATCTGAAACTAAAATACATGCATTATATCTGAGATCAAATACTACATTGATAGTTCATATTACTCTGAACCTCTGCAGTCTCCATGTCATTGAACTTTTGGAGCTGAGGTATCAAAAATGAAAAAAGAATAAAATATGGCAGATACATAGTCTTCTCTCAGTTTCTCCAGGTGATTGATTCCAGGACCCCTACAGATAACAAAATCCTTGGATGTTCACATTTCCTACATAAAATATAAGAATATTTTCATATAATCTATGCACATCATCCTGAATTTTTAAAATCATGTCTTGATTACTTATAACACCTAAAAATATCTTCACATGATTCATACAGACACATTTAGCAATTTTGTTTGCATTGGCAGAGAACCTGTTGACACAAATGGTTTACTGTATATTCATTATTTAGTTAATACTCCTTAAACAACAAAAAAACTACCTAAGAATTAACAATACTTGTGTGCATTTTAACTCAAAAACTCTAATTGCTTTCTACTTTTAAGAGGAAAATACACTAGAGATATACAGTGAAGTCCAAGATGTCCCATTTATTTAAATGAAGGATTTCCTGTAGCTACTGAATCACAGAAGGGAGTGGGAGAACTTAGCACATAACACAGGTACATTTAGAAACAGGTCAGAAGAATTCTTGATTTCCTCACCAATTCTCCCCTTGTGAGTCTTCCATGTTGCCCACAGGTTGCTCACACCAAAGATTGTTAAAAATAATTCCGTCCTTCTTCCTTCCTCTCCTTTCACTTAGTGTATCCTCACGTGTCTTACCATCTGCTCTTTCTTCAACAGCAAGAGTTAGGCTTTTCTCATTTTCTCTGCATGATCTTTTCCCGGAATCACTTTGTTTGCACACAAGACAAGAGAATGTCACCAAGTGATAAATGAATTCCATCTGTTAACTATTTCCAGGATACAATAAAGTATTTGCATAGTCTTCCTATTTTGTAAAAGGACAATTTTGCTAAGAAGAGCATAGCAGAATTATTCTTTCCATGACAACATTCCCCACAAATGGCTCCATGGCAGAAGACTGGGACAAACTGAGGGCAGGGGAGTACTTGAAAGTTTGACAAAGGGAGTACAAATAGCTGAACGTGCTTGTGTCACAATTTTTCTGCTAGAAGACATGGAGAGTCATGAGGAGTTGGAAAATAGGCAGTACTTCAATGGTCCATAGGTAGCATTTTCTGACCCACAGGTTCTGAATCTAGGAATGGGAAATTAATTCACAGGTTGCTCACAAAAGATACAAAAAGGGTTAAACTGTCAACAAAGCAAACTGCAAGACTTCCTCTCACCTGGCATCCATTTATTCTATTCTATTTCCACTGAGGAGAAATTAATGGGCAGCTGTAGCACTTAGAAAAACATGTCTTGGGGAGAGGATGCTGAGGACTGTTGTGGTTACAGGGGTTTCTCACATGACTGTTCTCATGTAGGGAGATTATGTCTCCATTCTAGGTTCTTTGAGACAGCCATTATCTTTAGAGGAAGCCACTGTGCAATAAATGTATTTAGGGCAAAGTGAGATCCTGAATCCTGTTGATTCTGCCTACTTTCCCCCTATTTGTGGTTGAATTGGCTCTATTAGTAGCTTGCACTTCCAGAGATTAAAAATGCATTCTCAGTGTCAGAATTTCATGGAAAAATATTGACCTTTTCTCACAGGAAATTGGGAGAAACTACCTTATTGACATCATCTAAAGGTTTCAAGATATTTGGATGGCTACAGATGATGCTGGCATGAGATAAGTTTGACATGTAGCTGAGGGGTTTGGAGGCAAAAGGAAACATCCCTGGGTGAAAACAATTACAGCAGTCAAACAGTACAAGTGAACATCTTGTTTGCTACTGTAAAATATTTTTGGCATAGTAGCTCATAAGTTATGGCCATAGACAATAAGGCCATGCAAGACTGAGTTAGCAATCCTGAAAGCATTGCTTGAGGTGCAAGCACACATTTATGACTTTTGCTGATGTCTCAGACTATAGAAGACTTTACACTATGGAATATATCCATACCCCTGATATATGCCAATATGAACATCCATACATCCACAAGGCTTTATCTTTTAAACACTTTCCTAAAAGCCTCCTTTACATCCTTGTTTCTCAGGCTATAAATGAATGGGTTCATCATGGATGTCATGACTGAGTAGAACACTGAGATCACCTTATTCCCCTTAGCCACTTTCTTTGCATTTGGCTGCATGTAGGTAAATATTGTTGACCCATAGAAGAAGATAACAACAATAAAGTGAGAGCCACAGGTAGAGAAGACCTTGAGTCTCCCATTCCCTGACCGTATCTGAATCACAGCTGAGATGATGTTCCAGTAGGAGAAAAGGATCAGAGAGACAGGACCTAAGAGGATGACAATGCCCATTACAAAAATGGCCATCTCAGCTTCGTACGTTTCTTCAGAAGCCAGCATCAAGAGTGCAGGAGGCTCACAAAAATAGTGATTTATGACATTCGATCCCTGATACGGGAGACGTAATGTGAAGGTGGTGTCTACTAAAGACACTAACACACCACTAGTCCACGACCCTGTGGCTAGCAAATTGCAAACTCTTTGGGTCATGATGGTGGAGTAGTGTAGGGGCTTGCAGACAGCTACAAATCTGTCATAGGCCATCACTGCTAGAAGTGAACTCTCTGTACAGCCCATTGTAAGGAAGAAAAACATCTGAATTGAACACCCAGCAAAGGAAATGGTCTTTTTCATAACCATAAAATGTAACAGCATCCTGGGAACAATAGTTGTAGAGAAACAGAGATCCGTGAATGACAGGTTCTTAAGAAAGAAGTACATTGGTGTATGAAGTCCAGAATCAGCATGAATTAGGAGCACGATGAGCAGATTTCCAAACACAGTCAGCAGGTAGATGATGAGAAATACCACGAAGAGCAGAATCTGCATTTGACGATCTGAAGAAAGGCCCAACAAGATGAATTCGGTCAGATTAGTGTGGTTTTCTTTGCCCATTGGTGTTTATTGCTGTTTATAGATTAGCACACATAGAGAAATCACCTGTTGATTATGATGGAGCAATGTATATAGAAAGTAGAGCCCTTAATGGAAAAACAAATAGATTTGAGTTTTAAATACTTGTAAACTTTTAAAACACTGAGTTTTCTAATTTTTTCATTCATATATGTTTCTGAAGCCATTGGGTCAGTAGGTACAGTGAGACAGGAGTATGTAATTTTGGTGATGCTGCTTTAATGTGCCATAATTTTGGCTTGATTTCAAGGATACTAGATCAACGTTTTCTATTTAAAAATTTTAAATTTATACTGTATCTGAATTCAACATAGCCTAATTATAGGAATTCTTATTGCCTTTACGAGACCAAGAAGACAGAGTCAAGGACCACTTTGCAAGATTGAAAAAATCAAGTGAAAGTCTTCCCTTTCACTTCAATTTGACATTACACATTACACAGATGAACAATGAAAAAGTCAATCACATCAATAACCAAAATAAACTATTGCTTAACTCATTACTTTGAAACTAAGATTTATAACATATAACTGGAAAATGAAATAAAATCTGTGGGTTACTACAAGCATTTATTAAAACTGGAAAATAAAAGAAAAAATATCTTGTAACAATTTAAGCACCGTTTTGAAAAAATTTTTGTGTGTATCTATGTGTGTTTATATGTATTATATGTATTTACTTATAGAGTATATTAAGCTCCTTATTAAGGTCACTATTAAAAGTTTGAAAAATAATATATCAAAGTTCTGAAAAATCTCGCTGCTGACTTATTTTCCAATAAATTTATTTTCTAACAAATTTTCAAGAGTCCATTTTTAGTATTTTATTGTTGCAAATTCTTACACAATAAGTAAAGTGTACATATTCCAATGTAAGTTTTGCACGTGTATGCAATAATATGATTTTTAAGTATACACTATTATATGTTTACAATTCCCTCTCTTTTACATGACTATGACTTTCTATTTCATTCCATATACCTGCATCTCTTGTCACATAATAAACTGTCTAGGAATGCTCCTTAACTGCCTGAATAAATAACTTAACATGTCCATGAATGATTGGATTCCTTTTCACTCACAGGTTCCTTTCTCTCCTTTTCTTGTGTCTTTCTGTCTCATGCACACAGACAACCCCCCCACACACACACATACACACACATATACATGCACATGTGCACATTAAAATTTTCCTAAGCATAACTCATCCTATTGAAAATATACCATCAAATTTGGAAGGGACAGTTGATGCTATTTTACCTAGGTGATCTTCTTGGGATGTGGAGATACTGTGACAAAGAGAAACCAAGGCAATGTACTTGAGCTACCTGTGCAGAGCAGAGGCATCATCAGCAGTTATTCATATGAGAATATAAATATAAACTCAACTTAGAATCATTTTCTCAAGTGTATCAATACCTCTGAGAACCATGGGACTAGTGAGTATAGAACTACAACATTAATACTCACCAAGTGCTGACTCCTACCTACTCTCCTTGCAACTGGCTATCAATTCCAGGAAATTAAAATCTTTCTTAGGAGGTTCCCTGTGGGGGACGGTTGATGGGGGAAAATCTTGCCAAGAAAAGATTGCAAGAAAGTAAAAGATAAAAAGAGTACCAATGTTAAATTGACTGAACGATTAGAGAATAGTAAGATTCTGGTGATTGAAAAGCATTACTAGATTCAGTAAATGACTCTTGTGGATTGCTGGGACTCTGGTACCTAAACTGACACCCTGACACAATATTCAATAGCAAAATTTCTACAATTGAAGTTTTAAAATAAGATGGGGAAAGAAAAATATCCTTTCCAAAATAGACTGTATGAGTTGTAGAGTTAAGGATGTGGCTGTTAGAATAGACTCAGGATTTCTGGTTTTAGAGGTCTTGTTTCCTTTAGATTCTTCCTCCTTGGTCACTTGGGCATCTTTCTGCTCATGTGGAGGCCTGGAATGAATTTCCTTTAAAGATAGTAACTACAGATGAAAATATATATAGTAGAGAAGCAGAAATCTATACATGCATATCTGGAGTTAGGATTTCATTGATTCTCAGCCTTCTCACCTAACAGAGGGGCTCAAATTGGACTTTACATGGCTTGAACTCCAGACGTTTCTTGTATTCGTGACAAGAATAAATATTTATTTTTTAAGCACTAACAATGAACTGAATATTTTTCTAGGAGGAATTATTAAAAGACTGAAGTACTGAGAGGAGGTGCAAACAAGATAAACCCTGAGGCTTCCCTCGGGATAACTTACTTTGTTATTTCATCACACAATGAGATTCCTTGGGAAATTTGGTTTTGTTTGTAAGCATAGATGAATCCTGAAACTCTCTTCTAATTACTTTATTAATTTTAAATTTTTATTAGGACACATTTTCAGTACACAATGCTTACATTTATCACAAGGAGTTGGCACATGTACGCAAGACATCTGAATGCTCATTTCATCCCCTTCCCCTCCCTAATATCCCCTCTCCATCCATCTCGGCCTATTTCTCATCTGCAAAAGCTCAATCTCTAATTTTTCTTTTATTTCCTCTTTATCTCTATCCCTCCATGACCTCTCTGCTCCTTCGAACTCTTGTTCCCCTTATTATTTGGAAAGTCGCTCCCTACTCCATATTGTCATTTTACTTTTATTTATATTTTGAATTTCTCATATAAGAAATACCACTCAATATGTAAACTTGTCTAAGATTTGTTTCACTTAATATTTTGGTCTCAAGATGCACCCATTTACCTGAAAATTCCTCAAGTTTCTTCTTCTATGTCGTAGAGTAGTACTCTGTCACATATAAATATCATATTTTCATATGCATTCATCTATTAAAAATCACCTTTCCCTAAATAATTAAGATGACTTGTATGCTTGAGCCTGAAAGTACCAAGGAAGCTCCCATTCATGTCTTTTCTCAAGTTCAAAGTATATCAGACAGGTGTCTTGGTATCACCAACATCAAATTAGAAGAAAAATGTTAGCTTTCTATCTTTTTTTACAATATTCTCTAGTAAAGTATGTTGAAAATTATTGTTCATAAGATGTTATAGCCACTGTTAAGTAATTTTAGCTGACGTCACAAAATAGGTCTGAACGAATTTTTGTAAAAGATTTAGTACTAGGGCCTGGGGATTTAGCTCAGCGGTGTAAGTGCCTGCCTTGCAAGCAGGCAGTCGTGAGTTCAGTCCCCACTACTGATAAAAAGGAAAAACACAAAAAAAGAAAAAAAATTGAGTACCTGAATCTTGTGTATGAACAGACTCATAATTTTTTTCAGAGTATGATATAATGAAGTTGGTCAACGTTGTGTATTTCTTGTCAAAATTTATCTCTTTTTGGGTAAAGATGGTGTACAGATAAGAGCAGAATACAGAGGCAGAATACAGAGGCATGAGACAGACAACTCAGATGGTGAAATAATGCATCATGGGGAGTCCTGGACAGATGGAGATGGATCCTCTCGACCCAGGAAGAACCTACAGAGAAAAGAACCAGCCAAACATGTATTCCCAGGCTGCTATTGAGGCAGCTAAGATTCTGGGCTCTCGTGCACCCAAATTCCCAATGCTTTAACTCCCTGGAACCTCACTTGCACTGAAGTGCAGTAACACTTAAATCGTAGATCAGTGAGCACAACAGAGAACAGAGGTGGCAAGGGACCTGTATTGACATGCAGTGAATGCTGGGAATAAAACCCTTCTATGGGAAAGGGGTACCTCTAAGGAATGACATTTTGGAATCAGGTAGGACTGGCAAGAACAAGGAACAGCAGTGACTTCAGTCAGTTGTTCCCTTCCCAGATGAGATTGGTGGGGCTTGCTTGGCCTGGATCACCCCCCTGAATGAGACCCAATAAGTTGTCCCAAACCAATTTCCTACGTGCAGCACACACTAATGCAGTGAAAGCCTCAGCAGGTTGACTGACCCAGAGGGGAAGAGCCAGCACATGCTGTCCGTTTTTGCACCTCAATAACACTGGAGGGGGCAGGATTGCCTAGCCAGCACTCTTCAGAAGAACCATAACAAAAAAGAAAAGGGTCTATGACCTACTCTATATGCCTGTAAAGAAGAAACCAAAAACATGACAAGAGGAACCAACAAGAAAAAGTCCCCAGCCTCCAGTCCTGAGGACATTGATCCAGGAGAGGTAAATACAAACGAGATTGAGGACAGCAAACATGCAATATCAGACAAGGCCTCAGCAGACATAAAAAGATACCTTCGGGATCTCATAGATGAGTTCATAAGTGAAATATTTAACCAAGTAAAGCAAGATATAAATAGATTAATAAAAGAAATGCTAAGCACCTCTCAGGAAGACCCAGATGGAAGAATGGAGGAACACACAAAAAATGGAGAATTGTTTGATGAAGAATATAAAGGAAATTAAAAGCTCCATTGAAAGCTCTCAAAACTGCTTGAAAGAAACTAAAGATGGATTATCTAAACTGGGAGACAGGTTTGTAGTGTGGGAGCATGAAAGAGAAATTTTCTTAAAAATAACAAGGAAACAGGCAGTAACAATACAAAGGCAGGAAGAAGACAAGAGGACCTATAGCTTAAGAATACAGAATGTGAAGGAAGAAGCAGAGGTATAAACAAAGGAACTGTAAAGGATATTCACAGAAGTAATTAAGGACAACTTCCCAAGCACAGGAAAAGGAAATGGCATTCAGATGTGTGAGGAATACAAAACTCCAGCCACCTACAACCAAAACAGAGATACACCCAGTCACATAATAATCAAGATCCAGAAATTCAATATAAGAATAGAATATTAAAAGTCAGAGAAAAGAAACAGATCACCTATAAAGGAAAACCCATCAAAATCATGTCAGACTTCTCATCACAGACTATCAAACCAAGAAGAACTTAAGAAAATAGCCTCCAGCTCGGATTGTTGTACCCTGAAAAACTGTCTCTCAAAATTAATGGAGAAACAAGATGCTTCCAAGACAAAGAGGAACTGGGGGAAT